AAAACAACAAAAAAAAAAAAAAGAAAAGAAAAGAAAAAAAGGTGGCCGCTCGCATTTCTTTTGTTCTCCAGCGCCAGTCTCTGATACCTGCTCGCTGGTCTTGCTGCCTCGTTTCCCTAGTATCCAGGGCCCCGCGCATGCACTGTGTCTGCGCTCTGGTCTAGATGGCTGGGGCTGGGTGTTCAGCATTCCTGGGCTCCTTCTCCCTCCCACTCAGACCTCTCTCCTCCTGCTGGGAGCTTGGGGGAAGGGCGCTCGGGACCCGCCGGGTGGGGGTTTGTATCTTACCCCCTTTGCGAGGCTCTGGGTTCTCGCAGGTGTTGATGTGGTCTGGATGTCGTCCTGTGTCCTCTGGTCTTTATTCTGGGAAGAGTTGTCTTTGTTATATTTTCATAGATATATGTGGTTTTGGGAGGAGATTTCCACTGCTCTACTTACGCCGCCATCCTGGCTCCCACTTTACTTTTTAAGAAGATTTTTTTCAGTGGTCTGTAGAGTAGGGAGTCAAGTTACTGCTCTTTAGATACCCACCAAGTCTCAGTCATTGCAAGTGTTTAATTAACAGCCTTCCAAATCTTGTGGCTCTGCCATCCTTTATGCCTTTGGGAACCTCTGCTGGCATTTGGATGCCAGATGTGGAGAGAGAGAAAGAAGCAAATCACTCAAGAGGTTTTCCTCTGGGTCACATCTCGAAGTGGCACACATCACTTCCCATCCCATTGACCCCACCTCAGTTACATGGCAGCACAACTGCTAAGGAAGCTGGGGAAAACAGTCGAGCTATGTGCCAGGAGCACAGGGTAATATGTTTTGGTGAGCACACAGGAGCCTCCACCCAGGGATCATGCCAGAGCCAGGTTGCCTTGTGAACTGGAAGCCTTTGTCTATCTGCAGCGTGTCCCAGAGAGAAGGGCTGGTACTAATGTTTCCTGTTTTGGCTTTGCAGATGAACTCATGTGATCAAAATCTAAATCATTGCCTCGAACTCATTGAACAAGTTGCCAAAGTGCAGGGACAACTCTTTAGGATCCTCACTACAGCAGCCCAAGAAGGTGAGGGTGGCCAGTTCTGTCCCATCCAGCTCTCCCTTCTTTTTGCTTTTCTTTGCACTCTCTGATTGAGTTGGTATGGCTAGATTTCCCTCATTGACCTGATTTCTGGATTCTTTTAGGAGGACATAATGAAGGTGTGGAAATAATCAAATCACGCCTTTTGCCTTGGCTGGAGGCCTCCTTTACTGCTGCTTCCCTGGGAAAATCTGTTGACAGCAAGGTCCCATCTCTACAGGTAGGAATGCTAAAGTATCACCCTTGACTTTTCATGGGCTTAAAGCGTCTGGGAAATCAAACATATGTAAGATATGGTTTTTGCCTGGTGAGGGGCACAACTCTACTTAGGGAACTGGGCCACAGGTCTGAAAGGTGAGTTTCTGTTTACAACAGTATGTGGCACATGGATTTGGTCTTCTCTTAAGACAGGCCTGCACTCGGATCTCAGCTTTGCCTGCTTGCTGGTGATGTGACTTCAGGCAAATCAGTGAGCCTCTGCTTCCTTAGCTATAAAGAGGGCTTGGTGCACTATCCAAAAGACAAGAAATGACAAGTGTTAGAGAGGGTGTGGAGAAATGGGAACCCTCTTACACTGTTGGTGGGAATGTAAACTGGTACAATTGCTGTGAAAGCAATATGAAGGTTCCTCAAAAAGCTAAAAATGGAAATACAATTTGAACTAGTAATTCCACTTCTAGGAATTTACCTGAAGAAAACAAAATCCCTGATTTGAAAAGATATATGCACCCCTAAGTTTATTGCCACATTATTAACAATAGCCAAGATATGGAAGCAACCTAAGTGTCCATCAGTAGATGAGCGGATAAAGAAGATGTGGTACATGTACACAATGGAGTATTATTCAGCCATATAAAGAAAAGAAATCCTGCCATTTGCAACAACACAGATGGATCTAGAGGGTATTATGCTCAGTGAAATAAGCCAGGCAGAGAAAGGCAAATACCATATGATTTCACTTATTTGTGGAATATAAAAACAAAGCAAAACAGAAGGAAAAAAACAGCAGTAGACTCATAGACACTCAGAAGTAACTAGTGGCTACCAAGGGGGAGGGGTTGGAGAGGGAAATACAGTCAAGGGTTCTGCAACATCTTTCTACATTTATAGACAGTAACTGCACTAGAGGGGGTGAGAATTTATTCATATGGGTAACTGTTGAACTACTGTGTTGTACATTTGAAACTAACATAAGATTTATATCAATGATACTTCAATAAAAAAAATTCCTTCAGAAAAAAAGGGCCTGGTGATGGTCTACATCTGGGACATTGCTTGACTTACACTAGGCATTAAATAATCACTTTTAAATGACAAATTAGTCACCAAGACATTAAGGGTACCATGGGGGCTCAAAAAAGAAAGGGATCATTAGACGGGGCATTGGAAATTTCAAGAGAAGAAAACTTTACTTCAGTAGACTGACAAAGAGTGTCATAATTTGTGGTTGGTGGATGGTTTCCATGGGACAGTGTCAGTTTTTGAACAGTTGAAGACCAGACTGGAAAGAGCATAGACCCTGCTTAAGGCATTGGCATCATTATGTCTGGGTAAGCAAACTGTTAGCAACCCTGATATTTTTTTGTTTTGGTCTTAAAAAAATTTTTTTTATTTTGCTATTATTAATGTACAATTACATGAGCAATATTATGGTTAGTGGACTCCCCCTATTATCAAGTCCCCACCACATACCTAATTATAGTCACTGTCCATCAGCGTAGTAAGATGCTATAGAATCACTAGTAACCCTGATTTTAAATGTTTATATGGATTTTCATCATCAACTCCCTTCTAAACTTAAAACATTTAGAGCAGGCTGTTTGTTTTAAGTATTAGGGCCTTAGGGAGGTGGATGAAGGATTCCTGCTTGGAGTTCACTGGACAAAATTCTAGTTCCTCTTTCATGGTCCTGGGTAGATTGTCTAACCTTTTATGGTCCAGTTTCCTCATTTGCTGAATGGGGAAAAGGCTTTTGCTGACCTAATAGGGTTACTTAGAGAATTAAATGTGATAAGTTTGCAGAAACAACAGATGTATGGTGAGTATCCCACAAAAGTCAGGTGTCATTAAACAAATCTTTTCCTGGAGATTTTCATACATTTCTTGGATTTTTTTATCCCTTGTGGGTATTAGATTCTTAGTATAGAGATATAGGATGATATTTCAATGCCTCTTTTTTTTTTTTAGAAATTAAGGTGTAATATCCCTACAGTGAAATCCATAGGTTGGTGAATTTTGGCAAATGTACATATCTATGTAACTCACACTCTATTAAGATATAAAACCTTCCCATTACCCAAGAGCATCCCCCTGGGCTACTTCCCAGTTACCTCCTTCCACCTCCAGGGCAAATCCTCTTCTGATTTTTATCATTCCAAATTAATTTTGTCTGCACTAAAACTTCCTATAAATGGGATCATACATTATGTATTCTTTTGTGCTGACTTCTTTTGCTCAACATAATGTTTTTGCAAACCACCCATGTTGTTTCACATACTCAGACTATTTTTGTATTTGTGTATTATGCCAGGACACATTTGATAAGGAGAAACAGAAAGAGTCTGGTATTCGGAATTGGGACATGCATCAAGTGGACTCAGACTTGAACTCAACTCGAAATCAACTGAACCAGTTTCAAGACGAGTAAGAGGAATGAAAGTTATCTTTTCTCAAAAATAATTGTTTGCTCTTAATTCTTAATTTAATTTTTAAGTTTGGAAGGAAAATAGTGACTCATGTAAAATGTAAACATTTGACAACAGTTAGAGGGTATGTGTGTGAGTTGGGAGTCAATGCCTTTAAATTTGGAGACAGGATATATTATATTATATTATATTATATTATATTATTTATATTATATTATATTTATTCATTATGTCATATATCATACCATATATAAATTATTATATATAAATGATTGCATATAAAATATAGATACATATTGCATATAAAATAATTTATATTATTTATATTTATTATATTATGGTCCTTAAGACCTGATCCCCTGGGCTCTATTCTTCTCCGTAAGCCCACTATCAGCTCACATTTCTAAATAGGGTGATCATTTCATGAAAATATTACTTTTTGGAGGAAAATAAGATGCAGAAGAAGAAGGGTTAAAGATGGCAAAAGATCAACTAAAGAGAAAAACTAGGAGAAAGAAGAAAAGGGTGTAGCAGGCTGCATCTATGTCAGTTGTGCTCATTTAGGGAAGTAAATATACCTGACTGAGAGAGTCAGACTCTCCAAAGAATGAACAATTCAAGATTTTGGGGTAACTACTAGATATAAAATGTATTTTTAAAATGCTAAGCAATGCCAGGCAGCAACAGATGTCAGATGTATGCTCTGTGCAAAGCCAGAATAGCATGCTCATTTGAATTCCTAACTGCAAAGGAAATTCCAAACTTTGCATTTGTACTTGAGAAAGATAAACAAATGTGTAGAGCACTGCCTTCAACATACCTAGCAAAAAAAACAACAAATCCATCAATAAGGTGTTTCTCCATCCACCACATTGCTTCACTGCTGACATGTATGGAACAGCAAGGGATTCCTGTGTTAACTAGTTAAAGCTTGTGATGCAATATGGTGTGGCATGCTGTCTCATTTTCTCATAAGGTTTTCTTCCAAGAAAAACATCTCTACTAATTCAGTTTTGCCTGATTGTAAAAGTAATACAAATGTCCTTGTCAAAATGCATATAACAAATACAAGTATAAAGATGACAGTCACCTGTTCTCTCATCCTGTTAACATTTTGGTCTATTTTATTCCAGACATTTTTCTTTGTGTGGGCTTGCACACACACACACATGATTGCCTCTGCACACCCTCATTCATTTTTCTAATTGGAATCATCCTCCATGAGCAGTTTTATAGCTGCAGCAGTCCAAATTTACAAATATAATGTGCAACAAGTACAGTTCCTTTGATTTTCTACAACTTATTTCAATTGATATCTCCTGATTTAGAGTGGGGTGAGAAGGATCCTTAAATTGTCCACTTTCCTGGTTTACTGTACTCCATTTTTTTTTTGTAGATATGCAGTTAATTCCAAGGTCAGATTTATGTTGGGGGCTGTTTTTGCCCTCTTCAGGGTCTCCTTTGCCGCCCTCCTTCCTTAGACTGACATCTAGGGGTAGAGGGATGCATACATACTCCTCTGGGGCTAGAGGAAAGGAGCTTTTGGTCTGGCACTGCTCTCTGGGTTCTTGTTCCTTCCAGATACTAGAATATTGGGCTGATGGGTGCTGATTTGTGGCTTGTGTAGTTAGGGGCATTCGCTGGCAACTGCTGCTGACCTCCACTTACCTCTACCTGTAAGGCAGGACTTTGAGATTTTGTTGATTCTTGACTTCTATCAGCTCCAGTAGGGATTTATACTTTTCTTTCCAGTCACTACAGCTCTGTAATTACCCAAAAGTGGCACCATGGACCAAGAAACCATGACTGCATGCCTTTTTAAAAAATGTTTTGTTTGAAAATAGTTTCAAATGCAGAAACTTTGCGAGAATGACTACATCCATGTATCCTTCATATACTTTATGCCCTGTTACTTTCTCATTTGTGTGTACATTCTATCTATATCCACTCCCTACTCTCTCCTTCCCCTGAATTTGAAACTTGCATACAGAAAGGTGGTTCAGCTTGACCTTGGATTTCCTAGTTTTGTATTTTGTTTTGTTTTTAATCCCCTGTGGTTCTTATTCTTAAGGCATCACAAATGATGGTATCTATTCCCCACAGTCTATGGTAGCCAGCTTTTTCCTTCCTCTCTTACTCTGCCTACCTATTTTTAAAGCCAAGGTGCTACCTTGTGGAATGAGTGGCCCACCAAGGAGATTCCTCATTTCTAGCCTTATGGAGGCCCATTTGGTTGTGACTCAGTTCCAAAGGTACAAAATCCCAATTCAGTACCTAGTGGGGACAGGTCTGCCCAGGTCTGGTGAACCCCAGATGAGAGAAGACCTCTAGAGTATATGCTTGGCTTCTGGTTGTGTATCTCACTTGTGCTCATTTCCTATATCCAATCTATTAGAATATCCAGTTGAATCTGCCACCTTAATATCTCCCACCCTTGTCCCTTTCTTTCTATTCTATTACCATTGCCATAATTCAAGACTGGTAACTATTGCCTCAGCCAGTTGCCTTCCAACTCGCTTCCCTGCTTTCATTCTTGCTCAACTACAATCCATTTTCTATATAGCAAACATATAAATTCACTGCCCCCACCCTGAGGCTTAAAAGCTGTTGGAAGCCTCCTTTTATACTTGGAAAGAAATTCTAAGCTCCTTCCCAGGACTCTCACAGCCCTGTGTGGTCTGGCTCTACCCTCATCTCATCCCAGGCTCTTTGCGTGCCTGGATCTTTCTTACCCTTCAGGTCTCAGCTTAAATGTGACTTTCTCAGAGTCTGTCTATAATCACTATACATTGAAAGGCCTTTCCTCTCCCCTCCTGTAATTCTCTTTTGCAGTGATCTAAGAATAGCACCTACCACAATTAAGAACTTAAAACTCTTTGTTTGCATATTTATGATCCACTAGACTGGAAGCTCCGAAGTGTTACTGTCTTGTATTGCTATTTTGACACTGTTGTATCTCCAGCACCCAGCATAATGCCTGGTATATAGTATATTTACTATAATTTGTTCAATGAATGAATAAATCTGTAACAAAAATAAATAACTAAAATGTTAACCTGTGTAAAACAATGCCCGGCACATGTACATACCTTTCTTCTCTCTGTATGTCACCCAAGACACCTAATTAGCATGCGCATGTATGTGCTCACACATGTATGCCATGTCTTGAGAGGGAAAAAAACTGCTTTATTCCTCTTCATACTCTCCTTCCTTTCTTCGTCTATTTTCTTTAAATTTTCTACAGTTTTCTCTTGATAAAACATTCATTTTCCCATGTATGGTTTTAAAAACCTATAGCATATTCACATTTGAATTAAATCATAGCAGTTTCCTTTCAACTTCTAGTAGCCTTATTGTGAAGTTGCCACTTTGGCTTTGTTTTAGACTTCAGACATTTCATTGGTTCATTCATTATTCTGTTAACAAAATCTACTATGTGATAGGCACTGTTTTAGGTGCTGGGAATAGAGAGATGAATAAAGCAAAGTAGTTCACACTATGTTTATAATTATAAATTATAATTTATAAATTATAAATGTGGAACCAAGTGTTGGAGGAGCTCAGGAAAAGGGGAGGCAAAGTTCGCTTGAGAGAGTTGGGGTTGGCATTTTGAGTGGCACTTGTAGGAAGAATGGGGGCTCATTAGAGGAGGAGTGAAGGGATGGTGTTCTGGGGAGCTCACATCACCTTGTGTGTTGTCTGTCTGAGTGGCTGGGATCTGTGGGGACTTGAGAGGGATCCTGCAAGCCTGTTATTTCTCAGTCTGTTTCACTGTTTAGGGGAGGATCCCAGTGTTGAATTTCCCTTCTCCCGTCTAGAGGGAAGGAAGAGGCCTGGTGTGAGTTTAGATAGCAGTTGTACTCTCAGCCTGAGGACTAGTGTGATGAAAAAGCCTGGATGTTCCAAGGAAGTCAGATCAGAGAAGTCAAGAAACCTTTGCCCACTCATGATCTCTTACTGTGCTAACGTAACTTAATTGAGCACCATTTGTCTTCATCCAATGTTATCCAGCACACTCCGAGTTCTTTTTAAATTTAAATAGACCTAAACAAGTAGTATAATTTATTATAATTTTCCCACAATGAAGAGACTTTGAAGTTAACAATGACTGAGCTATACTGAAAACTCAAGAAAATTGTGCTCAATAAGTGGTGGAAGTCAGGGGCAGGAGACACAAAATACTTGGTAGTCAGGTACAATTGTGGAGTGCTTTCTTCATAGATGGGCAAGTAATTTTTTTCATAGTTAGGAAGTCTGGGAAAATTAAGTCATATGTAGCTGTACAGTACCAAGTAATGAGAATGAGTACCAGTGTATTGCAGAACATGGAGATTTTATAGAGAGAGGCAACCTGGGGAATGAATGTATTTAGAGTAGACTAATTAGGAGGGTGATAAGGAGGAACTGCACAAGTTACCTTATCCTTTATGTGCTAATATTGATAATTATTATGTAGTCTTTTGGGGGTAATAGTTCTGTAATTTCTTTGTGCTTGACATTGAGAAAGCATGGCAGCATGTTTTTGCCTCCAAGTGCACCATAATATTTGCAGTATCATTTGATTAAATGCAGATGTCTTATAATTTGATCTTAGGTTGAATTTATATCATATGCCAAAAGTTCCTGAGAGAACCTATGCCTTCATTTAGAAAGTCTGCCAGTTTTGGAAAATCTGTCTTTAGTTACTGATTTTTTTTACAGTCTGGCTGGACCTGCAAAGACTCTTGAAGAAACCAAGAACAGATCGTCCATATCCCTTTTGGCTGCAGAGAAGGAAATAAATAAGCTAAGAAAGCAGTAGGGAAAAAAATGACAGGATTATTGCCGCCTCTGATTAATCTTTGAATTTAGCTTTTTCAGTGTTCCATTACAATATGAAAAATCTGCTCACAATCAAAGAGCAGCAATATTTTTATTAATGTTTTATATGTTTTTCTTACTATAAAAACATTATCTATGTTTTAGGACATTTTCAAAGTACAACAGAGTATAAAGGACCCTAGAAACTCTCATAATTCCAGAACAAGTTACTGTTCTCATTTGATATTTCTTCCAATTCATACATTAAAAACAGAGTTAAGACTGCAAGATAATATATAAGCACACAATGTTGGACCCCGTCTTTTGACTTCACATTTTTTTTCTATTTCTAAGAAAAAAATACTGCAGAACTTAGTTCCATATAGATGCATCAGTCCCATCATGTGGATTTTTCCCTACTAGTGAATATTTACTTTGATACTAATTTTCAACACTGGAAGTAACACTGTGGTAATATTTTATGGCAAATCTTAGTTTAAATTTCAGATTATTTTCTAAATGTAAGTTTCTAGAAGGGGAAAGTAAACACTGATACTTTAGGTTATACCTTCCTTGATCTGTTTTAATTCCCTCCCCCCCAAAAAAGAGCAAGGGGGGAGTTATATTATAATACATCTATCTATTTATGAATATCTTTCTGTTGCCTTCACACATGTTCCAATTGTTTTGATTTCTTTAGGAGCACCCATACATTTTAGCTTGGAGCACTGTTCTATTTTCCACTTTCTGTCTCCCCTTCAGCATCATTTTAATCATGTGCTTCCTATTTGATATATCTTCTCAAATTCTTTGATAGTATTACTCAGTGATTTTCTATGGCACAGATTCTGTTCTTTACTATTTCTAGTGTAGCTTTTAATTCTGCTTTTGCATTTTTAGGTCTTCCACATCCCTAATCTTACCCCTTACCATTTTATCTTACGCCACTGACCTCATCACAGTACATTCTCTTCTCATGGTTTTTGCTCTTGTTTTATGATGGCCATGCCTCTTGTATCTTTATGCGGATGCCAATTTTATTTCTGGAGCTTTGTTTATTTATTGTAATATGTTACTTTTATGGATCCACACTTCCACATAGTATTGTGGATGTTATTTAATTTCTAGTTTTCCTTCATATTCTACCCATTCAGAGAGTCAAAGAACTAATAAGGATAGGAGATTATAACTTTGACCAGCTTCTGGACTAGGTTTTGGAGGCCAAACGCTTGTAGTTTTACCCGGTGGAGACCAGCCCAATATAGGTCAGTATATCTATAGGCTCACTCCGTTGTCATTAGAGGATCTGCACTGTATCCTTTCTTCAGGAGGCTTTTTCCAGCTGCAGACATGGCATGGCATCCTGATCCTGGCAATTCTGCTCTTTGCCAATTTGTGTTTGTTTCTGTGTATTTCCATCAGTTTTCCATTGTAATAATGGCATCCTGAGTACCCTCTGTTAAGTATGCCAATTGTTGCCTATTACTTTTCACCACACCTCCTTCCCTCTCTTTTCTTTCTTCTTAAAAAACAAAAAATTTTTTTTCTGTTCAGGCTTAAATCTCTTCAAGCCCAAGAGGAATCCCGCCACAGAAACTCAGAGCAAAGAAGCTCAGAGCACAGGAGCTCAGAGAAGCGGGGTTGGGAGCCTAGGAGCTCAGAGCAGAGGAAAGCGGAGCCGCGGGGCCTGGATGAGAACAGCGCCGACAAGCGGGGCGCAGACCAGCGCAGCGCGGACGTGATAGCCGATTACGAGAAACAGCTCCGAACTCTGAAGGACGAGATAGCTGTTCTGTCTGCGGAAAAATCTGTACTCCAAGGAAGGTCTGACAAATTTACACAGATTTTTTCATTTAAATTCCTTTTGTTAGTGATCAAAGCCTGGCTTAGGAAAGGAAGAAAAATGACATCCTGAATCTAAAGCCCTGCAATATGGGAAGCTTTGAATTGTAAAAGGATTGATTCCTCTAACTGCACCCTTCCAGAGAGAGAAAACAGCTTCTGGATTGCCAGGCTTTGGGCTGACATTGAAGCTTAAGGAACGATACTGAGAGAGATGTGAAATGAAACTTCTTTGGCTTGAACCCAGATTTGAGGGGCAAGTGGGGGTACGCAGGTTTAAAGAATGTTCCATAATATGAGAGCCCTGTTTCCTGAGTCCTTGGAGTCCTCTCTCCAGGGATGACCAACTGTCATTTACTCTAGGGTATTGCCTTTGTATATCTCTGCGTGATGGAGTGTGTAGCTGAGTGTTCCTGTGAAAAATCCCTTTCTACTAATGGGCAGAACGTTAAGGCAGGTCACACAGACAATGCTGAGGACAAAGTAGGATGTTTCTCCTTGAGTCTGCATTTTCCATGTTCTAACCTCCTTCTCCCACTTGTTCCAGTCCCACATCATGACCTGACTCAGGCTACCAAAGCCACCCCACACCCGGTCCTCATTCCCCCAAATGTCACCTTAGTCTTTCATTTTTAGAATCATTCTGCCGATGTTGCACCGGTGCCAGCTTATACCTCTGGCTCCCAAGAACCATTCTGTGCATTTCTGCCTAAGTTGGAGTTCAGTGATGTCACAGGAATAGCTTGAGATTGGCCTGGCAGGGCTATTTGTTGCACCCTGGAAACTGGTAAACACCGTAAATGAGGGCTTTCACTCTCCCCCACCCCCTACCTTCAACAAGTCCGCTATGCACTACCATTTGCCCCACAGTTTCTTCTACAAAACCCATTTCGTTTGTGCTAGCTAGTCTGATAAGTGACTTTGTATTGGTAGCAATAGGCATTTCACTGATAACTATGCTTTCCAATTCTCCAGGACTTCCATATGTATTAGCTCGCTTGGACACTCCCACCCCCAAACCCCCTCCCCAATAGAGCAAAAATGATATAGGTGAATACTGAGGCTTTGGAGAGAGGAAGTGATTGCAAGTAGTCTCAATGACATTGAACAAGAGAACACAGATCTTTTCTCATTGTTCAGTGTTCATCCATTTTATGCCATAAAGTTCATGTGATACGTTAGTACCCAAGGTTGGGGCAAGAAACCCTGAAAATCTGATTTCTTTAACTCTGGCTCCTGCTAGATGGGTGACTCTAGAATGGCCCTATCAGCTTTTCCAAGCCTCAAGTTCTGTAAAACGGCCAGTCAATGGGCTGCTGAAAGGACCAATGGGGGTGCTAATTCGCCCTGCAAGTACAGAGTACTGTTTCTCCGTCACAGTCTTATTTGAGCCCTAGTGGAGGCAGGGCCTTTTACCGGCCTCGCGGAGAAGTTCTGGAGGCAGCTGCTTTCCTTGCTTGCAGAGGCCCCTGGCTCCTGGCTAGGAGTCAGAGCCCGTCCGGGCTGATTCTTGTTTTAACACCAGGTCCGCCAGGAGCCGGTCTCCGAGCCCCGCCCGTCGCAGCCCGGCCCGTCGCAGCCGCAGCCGGTCACTCAGCCCCGGCACCGCAGTGGTGAAGATCCGAAGCCCGTCCCCGAACGGCGCCAAACTCTCCAATGCGGCGCGCAAGGCTGCGCTGCTATCCCGGTTCAGCGACGCCTATTCCCAGACCCGCCTGGATGCGCAGTGCGTGCTGCGGCGTTGCATCGACAAGGCCGAAACAGTGCAGCGGATCATCTACGTCGCCACAGTGGTACGTGACAGCTGTGCGCCTGCGCACCACGGGCCCGCGGGCCGGCGGCGGACGGCACTGGGCGGCCTCTGCAGTACCGCTGAGACCGCTGGGTACTGAGCTCACTGGAGGGGAGCACAGTTTCCTAACGTCCTCGTTACCCTCCCTCCGTCCCTCCCTTTCTTCCTATCATTAACGAATATTTGGGATGAATAATTTTTCACAACCAGTAACGATTAATATATATTAATATTTATTTGATCAGACATTTGTTGAACACGTATCCATAAATGCATTACTATCTCAAATGGGTGTATACTAAGTGGATTTGCACCGAATCTTCTAAAATGGGCATGTGTACACCAATGGATATATTATTGCTAATGGCTATCATTTGACTGATTTCCTTTCAGTTTTAGACAAATTGGAAGGCTATGATTATGTTAACTTTTCTGCATACGAAGAGTAGTTGCTAAAACTGCTATCTTATCAGCTGCTTGAGTATGGTACATTAAAAGTATGCATATGTAATCCTTAATTCTCAAAGCAGATGAATTTATTCTCTGCGTATCATACTGAGATACTAAGAATCCATTATGAAAACAGTTAAATATTAAAAAGCAAAACAAAGCATTGGGTAGGAGAGAAGAATTATCAGAATCTTTTGAACTTTATCCTGTATTTATTCATATATATAATGGGTCAGAAAACTGACCTATGGGCCATACCTGGCCCTGACCTGTATTTCTAAGAAAAATACCACCTGAGAGTTAAGAATGCAAAAATGGTTTTACTTTATTTTTATTTTTTTATTTTGGTGTCGTTAATGTACAATTACTTGAGCAATATTATGGTTACTAGACTCCCCCTATTATCAAGTCCCCAACCCCATACCCCATTACAGTCACTGTAGTTTTACATCTTTAAATGGTTGTAAAAAAAAATAGACTTATGTATATTAGGCAAAGCCTGAACTATTACTTTCTGGCTCTTTACAGAAAAAGGTTTCCCAACCCATGGTTTGTATAATTAAGAATCACTGAGTTTGCTAAAGTTCTATAGGGGAAAGAGGCCATGTCTTTCATGCATAACTGAGTTTTCCCACTGCCTACTCCATAACAGGCATTTAATAAATATTTGTTGAATTAAATGGGCCAGAAAACATGCCAGACACTTGATGTATGTCTATGTAGACCATAAACACTAGACTGATAATTTAATCTTGACCAATAATATGTTATTTTTGTGGTATCATAGCATCAACTAGCACTTTTTAAGTATCCATGTGACCTCACATGCTTTATTTCCTTGAACCTCTGCATGGTCCTGCTTCCTGCACTCAGAATTACCAGGACAGTGGCTGGCTGTCTTGAAGACAGTCAACTTGCAAAGTCATATATGTACTTATGTACCTTTGAAAATTGAGATACATATTTTCTTCCAGATTAAAACTAGTTTTGACCAACTGTGCTTAGTTATCAGAAAACTGTAAGATGTTGAATTTTTGATGAGGATTCTTTAGTCCTTGCTTTGGATCTCTTTACACCCTCATTCCCACTTTCCACCTAATAAATTTGCTGCATTTTTATGTGCAGGAGGCATTCCATGTAGCTAAAATGGCATTCAGACATTTCAAGATTCGTGTGAGGAAATCATTGACACCATCTTATGCAGGGTTGAATGACTTTGAGGACACAGTCTCCGATTATATCATTTGCCATCTTGATCTCTACGATTCCCAGAGCAGTGTTAATGTAAGTGTTGGGTCTCTAACTGGGACTGGTTCGCTGCTGCTGATGTAATACTGAATACTAATAACTCAGAAATCCATCGTGTGCTTAGTATTGCTTCTATGTAATGAGTAACATTTATTTCCAGTTTACTTCATAGAATCAATCATTATTGGCTGTTTCTTAGACATATTATGGGGAAAAATATTCTGACCTTTATAGTTCTATTCTTTTGATGGTAGTCTTAAGATTGGAAAACAGAATGCCACTTGCTAACTGTGTGACCTTGCACATTTACTCAGCCTCTTTGTGCTTTAGTTTTCTAATCTTAAATGGGAGCAACTGTGGTCATGACCCATAGAGTTCTTAAGAGGATTAAATGAAAGGAAGCCAGTATTTTGCTTAGTACAAGACTTGGCCCTTGCAGCACTCAATAAAGGCAAATTGTATTTGTTATTATTATAGATTGTGTTTAACATAGCTAATTGATAGTTATAATAATAACGATTATAATTGTTATTATAGATTATGAACAAGTCAGAGTTCTGTGTTGACACATTATATACATAGAAAAGTAAGGAAATAATAAATAAAAGCCACTAAATGTGGTTTTTTTGTTTTTGTTCTTGTTTTTTTAGTTTTTGGGGAGACTCTCTGGGCCTTTAGTATTTCATCTGTCCTCTGTGTCATCTTTCCTCTTTCCCTATTAATATGTCTCTCTCTTTTGAGCAGATGTGCGGCTTTCCTAGTTTGATTTGTTCTCAGTCACACGCTCTTTTCCTCCCTCCCATCAGTTATAACGCCCTCTGGATGTCAGAGTTTCTCACACAGCTTAGTAACAAGGTGATGCCCTCTTTTTGTTTTTCAGGATGTGATACGAGCCATGAATATCAACCCCAAGATTTCATTCCCTCCTGAAGTTGACTTTTGCCTCCTCAGTGACTTCATCCATGAGATATGTTGTATTGCCTTTGCAATGCAGACTTTAGAGCCACCACTAGATATTGCATTTGGGGCCGATGGAGAAATTTTTAGTGATTGCAAGTAAGAGACATAGGAAGCAGAAGCTGAGGAATTCTTTATAAATAAAGAATCTTTTCTCTATCCCCTGGGAACAATTTAGGGAAAAGAACTCTGGGTGGGGATATCAACAAATACACCATGATTTCCAGGCCCTGGTGTATATTTCTCTGTACTACAGGTCAGAGCCCTCTCCTTGGGTCATTTTTCTTTTCAGCCAAATGTGACTCAGCAGTGATGTTGTGATTTCCATTGAACCTCTTGGTCTCGAGGAGAACTAGTGAGTATGTGGGGCCTGTCTGGAGCATTTTAAAAGAAAGGTGCATTATAAATACAAATGGGTATTACTTTCTGTTTTTTATTGCACTATTCAGGCCACATTTCTCAAAGTCTGGCATGTGGATCACTTGCCTCAGAATTACTCAAGATATTTGTTAAAAATGCAGATTCCTGGATCATACACCCTGATATTTTATGCAGTATGTCTGGGGCAAGGCTCAGGAACCTGCAATTGAATAAATACTCAGAGGTTCCTTATGCACACTAACATTTGAGAATGATTTATACTCTCTTATCTAGGACCATTAGATTTCTACCAACTTTTACAGGGTAAATATTTCCTTTGTAAATTAGAAGATTTTAAATTAATTGAAAAAATTTTACTAAAATTTTATGAGATATTATGATATAGCTGAAGATTATCTGGGAGGTGGCCAAACTAATGGTAAAGAACACAGGCTCTGGCATCAGCTGCCTGGGTTCAAATCCCAGCTCTACCACCAGTTAGCTGCATAACCTTGGGCATGTTACTTGATTTTTCTGCTCTTTAGTTTCTTCTCTGTCAAATGGGGAAAATAATTGTACCTCCTTCCTAGGGCTATGGAAGGTTCGTTGAGATCATTCAACTGAAGTACTTAGGACACTGCTTGGCATATAGTGGGCACTCAGGAAATGTTACCATCTGGGTCTTTGTTCAGGCTGTAGAGTTATGAGTGGGTGGCATTCCAATATCTTGCAAAGCTGTTGATGATGGAGACCATTTATCTTTCTTTTGCTTATGCAAATCACCATGATGGCATTTCCAGCTGCCTTAGAGCATGGCAGATTTTCTTGCCATTGCATATTTCTGGATTCTTTCAGATCACTGCTTCCAGCCTGTGTCCACTCATGGAAGAGCTGGATATGACAACATTACATAGCAGTTCATGTTTTTGAATCCCTTACAGAACATACCACCTTTATTCCCTTCTCCTTCACAGGATGCATAGTACCACTCAGAAATGTCCACCCATTTTAGACTATGAAATCTGCATGTTCCACAGACCTCTGGTGGATCTTCTGCTTTCATGCCTTTAACTAGAGGGACTGTGTTGCCTCTTGGGTTGCTCTGTGGCCTGTGTGCCTGGAAGGCTATGAAGCTGGAGCTAGAGTCCTCATAATGATTGGATATTTGATTCTATTTGCAGGACCTTTTTAGAAAAGAGTTTAATCCTTAAAAAAAAAAAAATCCTCCAGCAGCTTTCCACATATTTGAAAACAATTACTCAAATCTTCTTTCTTCTGGATTCATGGCTTTAGGTTTTTTCCATATAAAGAGGGTTCAGGACTTCTTGACAAATAGGTCAGTTACTTTGGCCTGTGCCCCATTCTTGTTGGAGTATTCCTTTTTAAGAAATAGGCCATACTGATGTAGTCCCTTGCTTTGGGCTGCCTACCCTAGAGAGGCAATCACCCTTACCATTCTTACTTTCTATCTGTTACCTCAGCCAATTTGTAGTAGTTGTCTCTTTTCTGTTTTTTCAGCTGTATAACACTGTTGACTCATTTTGAGTTAACTAAAACCTGTTATTTTACTTGTGTTGTGATTAAGCCATTTATCACCTCTGTGTAATTAGATGCTTTTTAGACTTAATGGCAGGACCCTATATGTATCTGTATTACATTGTGTCTTACTGTATTCAGCCTATTCTAGCCTGTTGAGTTATTTTTTGATATTGTTAACTGTTTTTTTTTTTCTTAGCCACCCTTCACCTTTGAGCTTTTTTTTATATATTTCATGTTGACTCATCACAGGATTGAGAGAGAACCCTCTGAACCTTCATTCAAGTTCTCATCGACCCATTAGTTATCCCACTTTGGACACCATCATTGACCCAGCTTCTAATCCATCTACTTAAGTTAATCATCTACCTATATTTCTCTTATTTTGTCCACAAAGATAGCATGAGAAATCTTGTAGGAAGCCTATGGGATTTCAGATAGTCTATTCTCTAGCATTTCCCAAATTGCAACTCTTGAATCCTTGAGAAGAGAAGGAACAAATTTAATGTGATATGACTTGTTCTTCCTAAATCCATTCTGGGTCTTTATTACCACGAGTTCCTATTCCAAGAGCCTACAGTTGTCTCTTTCATAACAGAATCAAGATCCATACTTATCTGGGCCTGGGCATAATAAAAAATGAAAATTTACCTGTTCCCCTGCCCCCAACACAGTTATGCTACATAATTGCTTAACTTCTCTTTCTTGTTCTTTTGTTTGTTTAAAATAGGTACCGTCGCAGCTACGACTCTGATTTCACTGCTCCCTTGGTCCTCTACCACGTGTGGCCTGCTCTCATGGAGAATGACAATGTCATTATGAAGGGAGAAGCTGTCACCAAGAGAGGGGCTTTTGTACGGTGGTCTTGCATAGTGACAATTCATCCCAAGTGTTTGATTCACAAGTTTGAGAACATTTATAAACCCAGAGATTCTAAGATTCTATAGAAGAAATTCATAAACAGTTGCTTGATAAGATTTCATACAAAGGAGAGGAAAGAGACTGGGAAAGAACAAAGTCTTTTCTTTGATTCTTCCATGATTCTTCATAGTTTTCAGGCAGTAATTTCTTTGCCTGTTACTTTATTTGCAAGATGGGACTAGTCATATTTGCCTCCTCTATCTTAGAAGTATTATGCTGTTATAAGGGCAAAGCCTTTTGAGCTCACCTTATTGGAAGCTCTCTGTAACTCTAAGCATTTAAATTTGATCAATTAACTTTCAGAAAAGAGTTGGCCAAATTTTTACTGACAATTCTCCATTTTGGAAAATGAGAATATACCTTATTTCTCTCTCCTGGGTAAGATGCATAGGGAGGGGAGGGATGGAGAAAAAGAGGGCACAGATGGGACAGAGGAGCCAATCTGTTTTGGAAGGGTTGCTTCCTAAATACAGCAGTTGTATTTAGGACATTTAAGAATGTTTTGAATATGGTAAATGAGCAGCCTTCCAAATGGAGTCTGAGGTATGCAAGTATGTGAGTGTGTGTGTTGTGGTGGGGAGTGGGTGGTCACTGGTGCTTCGATATTCTGTTTAGTTCACATTCTGGAGTTTTCTCCTACCCTTCCTAGAAAGAGTAAAGTGAATTCTGAAATGAAGCTGTGCAGGGCAGGGTAAAGCCACCGCCTGGGTGGTTTCAGTTCCTGTTCTCTTTGAGCTGAGAATGGGGAAGTGCTTTACAGCAGCTTTTCAGACATACAGTGGAGGAGGAGGGGAGTAGTGTTTTTTAAAAGAACTGAGGGAAAGGGCTTTTTTTGTAGCTTAAACACCCCACTATAGTGAATAGTATCTCTATAAAATATTTTGTGCTATGAAAGCTGAGCCCATAGAAACTGGGATGTATTGATCTGACAGTCACATATGCCCTACAGCGAATAAGCTCATAAAACATGCTTCTGGCCCCTACACCACCACCCTCTGTTAAGGAACCCTTGTTGTAGACTGTTTGCAGTACAATTTGGAAGGAAGGGAGGAAGAGCTGCTGTTTGTGTGCTCTATGCCAAATAGTAGTCACCTTCTAACTTCCTGCTTCTCTCCCTTCAATTATATCAACAACACTTACCAAAGCTTAAACTCCAAAAACAAAATGAGAGTACTTTAAAAGGAAGAACTTGGAAAAAGGAAAGGGTTGAATAAAAGGAAATACATAAGAACGATTTCACTAGTAAAATCTCATTTTAGTGAATATAGTTTTTTTCTTATTCATTAATTTAGAGAGTATCTGGGTAGCAGTGGTGATTCACTCACAGACTTATTCATTAATTCATTTCATTCCATGCTATTTATTGATTCAGTAGTTATTTATGGCCCAAGCCCTGTGTTTAGGTGGTAGGAATTCATCTGAATAAAAGAGAGCCAAATCCCTGCCCACACACGTGAAGCTTACGTTACTCAGCACTTGCAACCTTGAATGGGATTCCTAACAGCTTAGGCATCAAATTCTATGGCCCCAAGAATTCAAATCTCCCAAAGTTCATTGTAGTGGGGTTTTATTTGCGAATTGCCTGAATGCTCCTGTCACGTGCTGAGCAGCTCTAGGAAATGAAAAGTGTCCCTTACGCTGATGGCCAGTAATGAACAAGTGTCATCATATCTGGAAAACCGCTTGTTCTATGTAGCATGCACATTGTTTTAAGGCACGTGGGCTTTCACACACTACCGACTTTTTTTCTCTATTTTAGTGGAATTCTGTGCGATCCATACGTCGGTGCCGAAGCAGGAGTTTAAGTCCCATTTGCCCCCGCACCCATATTGGTTTAAGCACGGTATGTATTTGTTTAATAATTTTTACACAAAATCATCCTATGGTTGACACTTTTTTTTTCAGCAATCATCTATAAAAGAGGTGATTATAAGTCTATAGGTAGGGAAGGAATCTGTTGAAATAACCCCAAACTGATTTTTATCCTACCTTAGACTAAGGAATTTATCATTCTAGAAAGAAGGAAGTAGAGGGAGTGTTCTAAAATTAATTGAAAGAGTAATAGACTTTACTTATTTCATAGTTTTATTTTTATCTGTGAGTGAAATAGGCTATTAGATATCAGTTAGTTGTCTGTACAGACAACAGGACACCTTAGTCAACTGACCTGGGCACAAACTCCTGGTTCTTCTAGAATTTACTGTATGAGTTTGGAGAAATTGCTCAACTGGTCTGGGTTTCACTGTTGTATAAAGGGAATTGCAGGTATTAATTTCCTCCAAACTTCAAAGTAGGAAGAATAAAATTAGTCTTTGTGTATTAGTTCTTGGGATCATTATCAATACTTTGATCAAAGAAAAAAGTCACAGCAAAACCATCTCTGGAAACTAAAAGCATCATTATGATTCACCACTATTCATTTACTCAACAAATAATATTTAGTCAATGCCTTTTGAATACAGGGCTGGACCGAGACATGTGGACAGCAGATAGGCTAACAATTTGCTGTTCCTTCAAGTAAAATTTCTTAAAATATTTGTTCCACCTTGTTTTAGAGAGAGTGGTGAAGGAGAACCTGGCAGGGTTCCACTTATCTGAAATTTTTTCTAGCCATGTGTCTCTAGCCTTAATCTTCTAAAACCCTTTCAGCAAAACCAAACCAAACCAAACCAAAACCCCCACAGTTAGTAAGACTCATGTTTGTTTGAGTTTAGCTAGCATCTTGTTCCTTCAGCGTGCTCCTTATCAAACATGCCTCTGTGTCTGACGAATGCTAGATTTGGAGATGGACACAGAAATGATGAAAAGATAGTCTCTTCTTCAATATAGGAAGGGCAATATGATTTAAACAAAGTAACTGAATGTAGTATATGATACAGCCCATAAGAGAGGCACAAAGGAGTAGGGCAGTCAGAGGAGGTTAGAGATTCCTTCTAGATGTGGTAGTGAGGAAGGGGTGCACGGAGGAGTTGTATTTGATCTGGCCTTTTAGAATGGATAGAATTTCAGTGCATTGAGAATGGACAAGGCATGTGTCTATTCTTTTCCTCTTGGAGATTTGAATATACCTTAATTATCCATATTCATGAATAAGTATTTAGAGTAAGTAAAAGCAAAAGGATAGTGCATTTAGTGGACTGATAAATTAAAAGGAAATCTTGAGAGTTTTATACTGGAAGAATCACAATGTCTTCATTCTAGGAGGAAGTGGTTTATCAGAAGAAACAGCAGGATTAGACACCTGTTGTGTTTTAGCCCTGGCGGTTTTACCTCTGGACTCTCATTGAAAGGTTTATTGATGGGCAACATCCCTCTGTAATAAGCTCCTATACATGTTTAACCACCTCCTATTTCCCGCTTTGTGCTTAGGGAGAACAATGTACTTTAAACTTTAGATAAGAATAAAATACATTCTCTAAGATGAAACTGCTTGCTGCTCAGTTTCTGTCCCTTCCACCAGCCTCTCCTTACAAGATGGGGTACACCGCAAAATAAAATGTAAATATTTTTGGTTAGTCTGTTTTGTTTTGTTTTTGGCTATTTGAGGTCTTGATGTATTCAACAGCTTTCATCTTTGCTAATGTCTATTTATCTAAAGTTTTTGAGAGTTCAGAGCAAGAGTGACACTGTAGTTAGTTATTTCTGAGCTGTAACTTGTTTGAGGGTAAAGGGGTGGCTTTTGCTTAGTGAAAGCAAAGGTGAGAGTTGAAAAATGATTCTTTTCTGGCTTCCCAGTGACCCTCTTTAATGGAGTAGGGTTTTGGACACCTAAAATAATTCACAGACATGTAACATAATTCATATAAAGGGTCTGCCAGAGAGTATTTGATCATTTAATTAGTTAATTATCATTATAATAATTATTATTTTCTGGAAAGCATTGAATTCAGTATAGCCATGGAACACCCAATCTCAAAGTCTTTAGCAGCCAGTAAAACAGGAACAGCAAACTAGGCCACTAAGCTCAGCTTTTAATTAACAATGTAAATTTAACAAATTAAGTGCCCATTTACTTCAGGAAGTATAAAAAGGAATCTAAGTGCTCAACTTAGGTTTGAAAAAAGTGACAGTTCCCTCAAAGCAACCATTTTGCTGTTTTTAGGGAAAAAAAGTATCAAAAGGATTCATTCTTTGAATTCCATCTACTGTGCAATTGACATTACACTTTTATGTTTTCCAGATATCTCGAAGTCGAAGCCCTTCTCCAATAAGATGTGGATTGCCAAGTAAGTGAGGTGGTTTAGATGGGCCAAGTTCTCTGCATTTCAAAAGTGCTCTTTTTAGTAGTTGACATTGTGCATCAAAATGAATGTTTTGCTTCCCAGGGAGCATCTTTGGTCTCTACCTCCCACCCTTCATTTCTGGGTCCTCTCGTTGATGACACCCAAGCAGGTCCCATGGGTGACTCAGGAGGAGCCTTCAGTTGAGATCTTGGTTTTATTGATGTGAACCTAGATTAACCACCCTGATTTTGTTTAGGTCCTTCAGCAGGAAATTCCAAAAAAGTGACCCTAATAATGACCTGTTTATCTTTTTTTCTAGGATATTAAAACCACCAGGCATGTTCTCTTGTCACAGCACATCTGCAGCAACCCAGCCTCCCCAGTGCCTCCATCTCCTGCTGTGTTCACCTCAACTCACTTAGGATAATGTGAGAAGGCAATTCTGTGTATCACTCCATGCAGAAAGTTAAATGTTTTGGCTTAGCACATCTGTAACTTATGTATTGCATTTTATTTTATTTTATAGATACTAATTCCATTAATTTGATAAAAGAGATTGCATAGGTATTTAGGATCTTATTCATTTGAAGCAAAGTCCATTTACGTAGGCTCAGGATTTTCATCCTGAAATACTAGACTCTTTTACAGCAACTACACAAGCTAAAGTGGAAAATCTTTACTATGCTCAGTCCAGAAAACAAGAGGAGTCATTCTAGTTTGCCAGATCACAAATATTATAATTGCTGGAATTAGCTTTAATTTGAAAACAATATTGGGTGTTTTACTTTTCTTTTACTGTTTGGAAGGCAGCCCTCATCTCAGGTTGGGGAGCCCCGCGGTGGCAGTGACTTCAGGCTAAGTGCCAACGGAGCTGATTTAAGAGAACAGAGTTCCTTGGCTTGCTGCTCTTTTCCTACTTTGTGAAGACCCAGTTTGGTTAAGTCGGGTACCATATATTGAAGCTACTTACTTGAGAGTTTTCTTGCTTCATAAATGTGGAGCAATGATTTGGATAGAAGTCAGCTTTGAGATAAATGTTAATTACTTTGTGTTTATCTCCTGGGATGATCCATACAGTTTTTATGTACGTGTTAAACAAAAGCTACCTGGGCGTGCCCTTTACCTATTCCACCTAGTTGTTTACAAATTCAGACCTCCTAAGAACTCCATCTAACTAAAAAAAACCTATACTCAAGGCTTAAAATTAGGGGAACAATTTATTGATTTTAAATTGACTGTCTATCCCTTGATTTCCTCACTTTGAAATACTGTTGAAAAAGTTCAAGTTCAAAATAATAATGGAATGTGGCTTTCTCGAGACAAGTAATGTTCTTTCTGCTTTTTTCCACTTTAATGGCCAGCTTTAAACATAAGCCTCACAAATGACTGCTTTCACTGTGTACCTTTTAGAGAGAATATCTGAATTGGCCATAGCTCGGTTTGCATAAGCTCAGTGCCAAAACTAGCATCTGAGGCTTTTTGGGTGAAAAAAACAAACAAACAGAAACACTTCTCTGAAGTATGTCCTCCCTTGTTCTGGGAGCTAGAGACCAGGGAAGAGACCTCTTCAGTTCCGGTCCCTTGCGTCTAATAGTCACCAACTCCTTCCAAAGTGTGAGGTTAATATTACTCCCTCTGTGCCTTTATGTCATCACAAGCTGGGAGGAGAATTTGGTGCACAGGTAGTCCAGTTCCAAACTTGGTCGTCAGCTTGCTTCTTGGGTTTGAGCAGGTTATGCAATCTCTTTGGGTGAGATCTGTGGTTCTCTCAACCTTCCTAGATTCAAGGCCCCCTTTTATAAGAAATGCTTAATTCCAGCTATTCTGAAATAAAATTCACAGTTAGTATGAAATATATGCATATATATATTTCAACAATGGATATAGTACTGTAACTAATACAAAGCAGAAAAAAAGGGGAACACTTAAATAAAATGTATTTCAATGAAAAAAGTTAAGTATAACCATCCTAAGGGATAAAATTAAGTCATCAGGTGCTTGTACCTGTTTGGAGAATCATGAGCAACAAATGCACATCAGATGTGTGTTTCACTGGCAACATCACAAACAATGTTGTCATTGGGTATGGTTTTCTGAAATAGTGAACAACTCTTCATAAAGTTTTGAACAAAAAACTTAGCTATGCCTTGATTTACCTAGTATGTGCATTCCTGGAAAAGTCAGAGTACATTAAAACCATGCAACAGTTACTTTGCATTATGTTAAAAGGTCTTTTCTAAAATCTCACTAAGTAATGGGAATGCCTACATGTCAGAATTTTTTTTTTTAAGGAGTTAAATGTCTGAATACATGCCCTGATTTGGAAAAAAGTCACACGTAGCTCAGTTCATTTGCTTTGTACCCTGTCTGGCCACTTGCCATTTCTCAAGTCTCTGATTTGAACTGTAACCACAAAGGGAGTGGCGAATAGTCAAGAATAATTTTTGGAAAGGATCCACAAAACCCAAGGAGGCTGACCTGTACTTACTTCATCTGGGTGTGCATCTTAACATTAATAATTTGAAAATGAAAAGCTCTTACTTCATAACCTGGATAAAAGTCAGTTTCTGTATTACCTGTGTAACATCTAATAATAAAGTCAAGAAAAAATGTGCTTCCATTATCTGCAGTTTCTTTGCAATGACATGCTTTCTTTCCAGACCCCCAAGTTCAGTGATATCCTTCACTTATCTCTGTAAGACCTGAACCAGTGCCATGAATTCATTTAGTATATATCGACTGCACTGCTGCTCTGGGTTGACCCTGTGACTGCTTCAGTTCTAGCTAAACAGCCAGCTTTAGGCTCTTTTGATTCCCAATCCATTGTCATCATGATGAAGATACTCTCAGAGTAGCGCTGTATGGTTTCCTGGAGCTCTCTCACCTCCATATTCAGGAGCTCCCCACCAATCTAGGCATGTCTTCAGTGTTACCTGTAGGGAACCTGTTCATCAAATACACCATGCAGGCTTATGCCAAGGCTTCTTATTTCAGAATAATATCCTATCCTGTTTTCTTTTGTTCTGCCATGGCCTACAGTACCAGTTTTTTTGCATATTGGTTCATTCCTTCACACGCTCATAAATACTTACTCAGTGAATACCTTGTATATGTGCTAGAGACAGTATGTACTACTAGGATATAGTGGTGGATGATTCTGGCTTTTATGGAACTTAATATCATGTCCAGTTTCATTCTTTGGTGATCTTCCTGTCACAGAGAGCAGATGTGATGGAAGAAGGAAAAAATGGAGGCAGCATAGCAAATTTAAAAGAAAGAATGTCACATAGCAATTGAAGAATTTAAATATTTTCATTCAATATGTGTGTGGGAAATACCTATATGTAAGAAAGTCATGCAAGGCAATAGAAGCGTGGTGATGTACACAGGAAAACGGACTCAGTGTGACTCATGTACATCATCCACAGGTCAATTAGCCTTTTAACAAATGTCTACTAAACCTATGATCCTAGTATCATTAATTAAAAAATGAGTGCTGGGAGGAGAGCTCATAAGATCAATTCTAACACTTCCTATTACCATAGCTACATGCTCCACCTGCTATATTCCCAAGTAATAGGGCAATTTGCAGACCATTCTAATTCACCTTTAGATATACCCCACAAATCCTTCATGAGGCAGATTGCTGCCAGTAACATCTATGAAGTTTGCGTTGAGTGGAAAATTTCTTAGAAGCATGACTTTGCATAATATCCTACCTATGATTAAGGGTAAAGTGTTATGGAGCTTTTGGTCATTGAAATGTGAATGCAGGATAAACATATGGGTAAGTGACATTCGGTATCTGCCATTTAAATACCAAAGCAGTGAGGTGTGTTGGCTTTAATATAGTGAGCGAATCAGGGACCCTGAAAATGAAGCAGGAATTAATTTTCTTATTTCAAAATAAAATGTGATGAGAAAATTTCATGCTTAAAAAACTGCCCACTGGGTGCAAGCATGAGCATTGTATTTTTCATAGTATCCCTGGCAATTAGTATATCAAAACTGGGCATCCAGCTTTCTTTTCTTTTTTCTTTTGGAATCATTAATGTACAATTACATGAGCAACATTACGGTTACTTGACTCCCCCTATTATCAAGCCCCCACCACATACTCCATTACAGTCACTGTCCATCAGTGTAGTAAGATGCTATAGAATCACTATGTGTCTTCTCTATGTTATACAGCCAGCTTTATTTTCTATTGGTTGAGCAACAAAAGGATATGATAAATGGGCACATTATTTCAATACAGCTTATGCCACAATTTGAGTGATACAACCAAAATTGTGTAGTGAAATGTGATGTGAAATATATTTTAGACAAGGTTTTTAGTAAATTGTCAGAAGCTCTGGAGTGCCATTTGATGAAGCAGACCCTTTAGTAATTGACTTCTGCTGATGGGGTGCTGGGTTGGGGCATTACATTTCCCTTCTACTTCTATCTTCTTAGACCAGGGAACAAGTAGTATGGCCATGTCTTCAGAATAACAGGTTTTGGGACTGTCTCTGCTCTGTGGGTCACAACTTGAAGTGAGGATGGAGGAAATTATTTGTTCATTTATCATTCATCCATTAAGAACATTGACCAAAGTTTGTTAAATGATGTTCCAGGTATTGCATTAGGCCCTGGGGATGCAATAGTGAGTAGGACTTTCAGCTGTGGATAGAATACTCTCACATTGCTTGGCTGTGTTGTGTACCTATGGGTTGGGTCTATGATTTCTCTGAAAGATGGGACAGTGACTGACATCTTGTCTGAGAGATAATCTTTTTTTTTGTTAAGGTATCATTGATATACAATCTTATGAAGATTTCACATGAGCAACATTGTGGTTTCTACATTCACCCATATTATCAAGTCCAACCACACCCCATTGCAGTCACTGTCCATCAGCATAGTAAGATGCCACAGAGTCACTACTTGTCTTCCTGAGAGATAATCTTAAGTCCATTGTGTTGATAGTAGGCTGAATTAGTCTTCCATGGTATGGTCACCGGGAAGCCCAGACTTGACACTGAATAATAATTTATTCAGGGAGATTTCCCAGCTTAATGTAACATATGGTGAGAATGATCTGAGAAAAACATGTACAGCTTAAATAATGGGCTGGAAATGGCAAGCAGGACATAAAGGAGTTGGTACCCATTCTTAGAAAGGAGGCATTAATGAGAACAAGAGAAGACACATCATCAAGGTTGCAGAGTCTACTTTCCACAGAAGTAATTTTAGGGGTCCCCCCAAAGAGGCCTCCCCACTCACTCATAGTTTATTAACAAACTCTTGACATGTCACTTTCAGAGCTTTACCCAGATGCAAGACTTTGAAGGATGTTAGAATGCAAATGTAAATAACTTGGAGCAGTAATCCCATAGTGGGAATGAGGTTTCAGATTCTTTCCTAAAAGTCATATGGAGAGAGGGTGACAAGAGGAACTATTGGGGCCCTGAGTAATGACTAGGGCTAACAGAGTATGTAATGGAAAGGGTTTCCCTTCAGATGGGATGATCGAGGGCGTGAAAAGCAGGTTTCACCTATTCCACTGTTGTGTTTGGCATGAGCGCAGTCTTACCGGCCAGTGAGAGTTCTGTCTTTAGGAAAGCAGCTTCATCTTAGAAATGGCTGCTGTAGACTGGATAAATGCATATGTTGAAACCAAGTCCTTCATGTGATGCTATTTGGAGGTGGCCTTTGGGATGTCACTAGGTCATGATGGCAGAATGCTCATGAATAGGATCAGTGCCCTTATAGAAGACTCCTCACTTCTTCTGCCATGTAAGGACACAGCAAAAGGACAGACATTTGTGAAGAGGAAGAGGGTTTTCACCAGACACCAAATCTGCAGGCACCTTGATGTTGGACTTCACAGCCTCTCAAACTGGGAGAAATAAATGTTTGTTGTCTAAGCCTCCCACTCTGTGGTATTTTTAGCCCAAAGACTAAGAGACCTTGGTTATCTTTGATCCGAGACCCATATGTAACCATGTGACATATAACCTGTTCTGTATAACCTCTTTGCTGCAATTCACTGGCCTCGAAGTATTGTGATGGATTCCTGACTTTTCTTGGTTTGATCTGCAACTACCTAACTGAAAAGGAAAAGGTGGGGGGGTGAGGAGAAAAAATAAAAGAAAAACTTCCAGGTTTTCTTTGGTTGGAAAAGTAAATTTCTGCTGGGTGTTATAAGGGTTTATAAGTGGTTTATGCAGTTTATAAGGATGGTGTAATTTAATGCATATACTTTATATTGATAATTTCACAGAAAGTTTAAGAAGACCTCAAGTTTCCTGGAATATCCTCTGAGAATACTAATAACTTATACTTAACACAACATTTACCATATGCCAGACATTGTGCTAAGCACTTTATATTATCAAACCCATTTTATAGATGGAAAAGCTAAGTAGGTCATTATTAGGTAACCTACCTCAGGTCACAAAACTAGTAAAGGTTGGAACAAAAGTTCTAACCCAGGTATTCTTACATAGAGCCCACACTCTTTTTCACTGATTTTGCAGGATGTGAATAACATGTGGAGTGAAAAAAAGTATCCTGTGGCTATTACAGCTTTGGAAAATAAAGAGTTAAGCTGTGAGTTGAACAGATCTTCTCTGAAGGACTCTGCTGAGCCCTTCATCTTATGCTGCTCATGGCAAATTTTCAAGGAGAACAACATGTAGCCTTCTCCAACGTCAGAGCACCATGGAACCCTTTATTGATGGAGCTCCTGTACAGGTGCTTTTCTAGAAGACCCATTTCAGGAAACACTTCCTCAGGTCCTATTTATTTTTCAGAATTACAGTTGACTATTGGGAGTTATGTTTTAGTAACTTTTACAAGTGAAGGGTGAATCCAGATTGTATCACTTGATAAGACTTTTCACCCCCCAAATTAGTTACTAAATAAAAGTCCCCAAGTAGGAATCTCTTAGTTATCTTGATGCTTTCTACCTGTGCTTATCTTTTCCTTTTGTCTTATTTTTTTACCCTTCCATCATTTATTGTGTCATAAAATAAAATTCCCTTGAGCCCAATATTTATGTCAGGGTCATTTTTCCAGCATTTGTGTTTTTCCTTACATTCCTTACCATGTTATACCTGTGCATCTTCACTTCTGTTTTCTCTTCATAGTGCTCTTCCACTTTCTTTTTCAGGGTTTCTGTTTCCATGGTTAATTCCCCTAATGCATATTTAATTATATTTCTTAAAAACAGGCACCTAAACTTTAATGTAATTATGAATTGATGAAAGAGACAAATGGACATTATTCAAAATTAAAATACACTGAATAGTATTCCATATGAAGATGCATTTATATTCTGACTCATATAATGCATTAATTTTATGAATATTTCAAATCTAAAATTTTGAATTTTGGGTTTATTGAAAGTGACAATCCTTTAAATTATACTTAAACTTCCAATAAGTCTGAGCTGTGGTTATATTTACCTCTTAAGTCACTTTAGTAAAAATGTTGACCAGTATTTCCCAAATTTATCTGAAGATGAAAATTAGTTGGCTTATTTATCAGAATCATGTTCTTGTATCCCACTCCAAGCCTACTGAATCAGAATCTCCATGGCCATCTGTATTTTAACATCAGCAGAGAGTT